GGGGGGGGGGGGGGGGGGGGGGGGGGGGGGGGGGGGGGGGGGGGGGGAGAGAGAATGAGAGAGAGAGAGAGAGGCAGACAGACAGACAGACAGAAAGACAGGCAGACAGAAAGACAGACAGAACGACAGACAAGCAGACAGACAGACATGGACAGACAGCATCACAGAGGATAGGGGGAAAGGAGAGGGGGGGAGGATCTTGTTCAAGAGAGAGAAGTGTTTCCCCACCTTGCTCATGCAGTTGAGACAGACAAGTGGCGGGTGTCGGAAACGAGAGGGCGAATAATATTCTAGCCAGAGACTGATCAGGACGTTCTTCCGGCTTGGTGTCTATTGCTGGTGGCGATTTTGGGTGGTGCTGTGGTGGTGCATACGTTGATGATGGTTGCCGTGTACGATTGTCGGGAATAGAGGGACGCCGTCCATGGTTTTGCCACCAAGAGATAGCATCGTCAGGGTTTTCTTCAAAAATCGGAGTTTTCATTGCCTTGTGGTCGTCGCCTTGAAGTCCTCATATGTCAGGAGAGGACGGGGGCTGAACAAGTCATCTTGACAAGATCCTGAGAAACAAGAAATGCTTTCGCCATGTTTTGCCTCTGCTTTCAGTTCCAAACAAAGCGCTCCCGCCCCATGCAAAACAGAAAATCCCTACCAACACAAATCAAGAGAGATTCCGCTCTCCCCTTCCCTTTCTCACCCATTCTTCCATTCCTCGTGGCCCATTGCTCTTGACACCATCATAACCGCCCCGCGCAGAAGAGCGAGGTTAACCCCGTGGTCCCTCTCCCTCTCGCTCCCGGCTCCCCCCGGCCAAAGCCCGCCTTCCTCCTCCCCCCCCCCGGCCTCCTCTTCCTTCGCCTCGACGGCGCCCCACTCTCCGTCCCCGTGCCACTCTGCTGGGCCGCTCGCCGACNTCAATTCACTTCAAGCTTCGTGTTACCGAAAACAAAGTGGTACACAACAGAGGGTGGGCATATGCGTATGCAAACAGTCAGAGTCAGGGGCCCGACGCTATAGTGCGGGCACCCGAGGTAATGTAGGGCAGGTAAAATGGACTGGCAGATGGAACAACCAAGGCGTTCAATACATTGAACATTGCGGGTGATTCCGTATTTCGCGGGCGAAAGCGGGTGGTTATTTCCCGGACTATAGCGGGACCACTCCCTGTATCTGCGTAGACGCGTGCTCACAGCAGTGGTACTCAAACACATACACTCATTTCACATCATTGGCGTCCTCGGTGCGGCAACGATCCATGTGTGTCGTATCACTCACGAAACGATGTGTACACACTCTCGTTTCGGGATTCGCTCGCATTTCAACGCGCGCGCTTTGCGCAATCTTGCCCCCCCCCCCCCCCCCCCCCCCCCCCCCCCCCCCCCCCCCCCCCCCCCCCCCCCCCCCCC